GCTCACTGGCTGAGCGAGGTGCGGGCGCAGCACCTAGGTTTGCGATCCCGTTGCCGGTCCCGGTCCGGTACGGGCGCGACACTGAGGGTTGCGGTCCGTTGCCGGACACGAAAAAAAGACAAAAAGGAAAAAAAATAAAAATAAAATAAAATAAAATAAAAATGCCTGTCTTGACCTAATGAAGTGAGTTCAAGACCCACCGGCTTTACCTGTGCTTTTGGAACACTGTTGTAGAGGGCAGAATAAGCCATAAGCTGGGCTAGACCTTGAATATCACTTCGCATCCTTAGTGTCAGTCTTCCTAAGCAATCTGAAACCCCACCTGTAAAAATCTGTTTTTGTCTAATTAACTCCATTTCGAGGGGCAGCTTGGGAAGGAATGCAATGGCCCCTTGAATCCTCCTCTGAGGCTACTCCACCTGCCTAACTCTTCAGGCAAAAGACCTTGACACCCACTGCTGTGCCCAGAGTAAGACCTGTGAGACCTAGTGGCCCAGCTCTGGGGCTCTTCCCTTCTACCCAGCGTGTGGCTTCTGCCCCTCCAGTCTAGCCTAGACAGCCATGTGATGTTGCCCCATTAGCCTCTGGACTTCCATTTGAACAGCTCCCACTTCTCCTAAGGAATTAGATGGTGGAGACTCTAAGAGCACCTCCATTCTTTCTAATCTTGAGGAAGAATGAATAATAATAATGATGATAGCTGACTTTTATTCAGCACTTTTTCCAGGTCAGGCCCTTTATCAAGTTTTTTGGATCCAAATTTGCTGGACTTTTCAATCCTATCACTGGAGAGCTGGAGGAAGCGGCTCTGTGGTATGTGTACTCAGACATCTCTAGCTGTCAGCCTTCTCACGCCCACACTCGAGAGTGAGGTACATACCAGTCCTTCCAACTATATTCTCTGGGCCTCCTCTCCCAAGCATTTTCTTAAAAGAAGTCAGGGTACTCACAGGTGCTTTCCAAAGTCCTGTGCCTCTTAGAAAAAAATCTAGGTCTATGAAGCTCACTTGGCTCTGCTTAACCTTTTTTGCTTCCCCATGCCATTTACTCAGAAGGCCATATATACCTAGACACATATATGCGTACTTCAGGCCTGAGGTTCCTCACCTATAGGCTCTAGAAATTCACAAACACAACGAACACTGCTATTTGGTCTTTAACTTCAACAGAGTATTCAGCAAAATATGTGGAAAAATATAATTGAAAGATAATGTTCATCTTTCTATGAACTTTTTGAAGTACTCTGGTAATATACATAGACATCGTTGTGATTAGAAAGATACATATTCATTGAACACTGTAATTGAATCTACAATAACATTTTCTTTCCACTGTCGTGTGGTGGTGGAGGCAAACAAGAAATTTATTGACAGTATTTTAGAATGTGTCGGGAACTACTGCTGGGTTACTGTGCATGCTCTTGCTGATGGTTGTGATAGAAATCTCACTTAAATTGATAAAGAGACATGAAAAACGATTACATTGTATAATGTTGAACTTTAAAATAAAGCATTTATAAAAAAAGAGAAACCTCACTTAAGCGATTCAGTTTTATAATTTTTTTGCAAAGAAAATTACCATTAATTTTTAGAGACCTGTACTCTAAACTGTGGAAGATAAAGGGCTTCCCCTTTTGAAATCAGGGTAGATGGCACTTAGAGTTGGTATAAGGGAACTACACTAATGGCCTTAATTTGACAAGATTATATCCTTTCATTTAGAACTGAATTTAAACAAGAATGATAGAATTTTTTTCTCCTGAGGACTTTTTGAGCACTAGATCAGATGTTTTATAATTTATGGTTTCAAGATTCTAATTAGAGAAGACCCAGAGATCTGAATAACATGTAGACTTGATATAAAATTGGTTAGTGAATTTTTTTATGGTCTCTGATCAACAAACTCAAAGCTGCCTATTGGATTATTAGAATATTTTTATTTGAGGAGATAATTTATTTGTGAAATGAATAATTTAAAGGCATTAATTTGGGGCTATTTTAGTGATTTCTAAGATGGAAATAAAAAATAAATTAAAAAAATCAGGATGAGAAAGTCTCACAAAGGGGCGAGCAATGTCCTTTGTTTCGAAGAGGAAAATTGGACACTCTAGGAGTTAAAGTCCCCTGGAGATGCATAGTGCACTTCAGAAGCTGAAACTGAACTTCCTCAGTGAAAGGTAGTAGTCATGTGTCACTTAACTTTCGAAGAGGAAAATTGGACACTCTAGGAGTTAAAGTCCCCTGGAGATGCATAGTGCACTTGAGAAGCTGAAACTGAACTTCCTCAGTGAAAGGTAGTAGTCATGTGTCACTTAATGAATGGGAGAAATATGTCCTTAGGTGATTTCATCATTGTGCGAACATCATAGAGTGTACTCACACAAACTTAGATGGTATAGCCTTCTACACACAATAGACTATGTGGTGTAGCCTAATTCTCCAACCACTGTTGTATATGTGGTCCCTTGTTCACTGAAGCAAAGTGATGTGGCGCATAACTGTATATACCAAGTTGCACCCTCAGGCCAGCCTCCTGGGTGGAGAGATCTGGGAGAAGAGCCCTCAGCTTGGAGCCCTAGAGATTTCTAGGTTGTACACCCGAGAAGAAAGAGGTGCTTGAAGTCCACAGTGGCAGGGATCAGCATCTTGACAATGGGGTGTTTGCAGACTTAGTGCAAATGCTGGAGAATCTGTTTCCTCCAAACAAACCTAGTCTACTGATGTCATTGTTTCTCAGAACCTGGAAATTAGAATTTAGGTTTAATTAAATTAGACCCAGGATCATTCACTAATGTTAGCCTAAAATAAATCCCCTCTGCCACCCTGCTGGAAATAGGATGTCATGTAATATAATAACCTTTCTCTCTCTCTTTCCCTTGTTTCCATCTCTATTATTGTCTTTTTCTTTTGCTCTACTCAATCTCTATCTTCGTCTCTGTCTCCATTTCTCTCCCTTCCCTGTTTTAAAACATACATATATGGTCCAGGGTATGGTCTGTATTATAAATTGCCTTCTGTCACTTGCAGTTGGAGAAGCACAGCTGCTTTAGTTAGACTCCCTGCCACGGCTGAGCACTCCCTGCTTAGCAGTGTTCTAGTGAGAAGAACAGTCGCTTCGGGAGCCTCCTCTAGAGACTTAGTGGGAACTTGCAGACTAATTCTGAAAGCCAAAAGCACAACAATCAGGGATATTGGTGACCTAATTAGATCATACAGCCAAATTTTATTGTTTATAAACATTATTTTTCCTAGTTGCTAAGATAAATAAAAAATATTTATACTGAATAAAAAAGGTCACTTTGGGGAGAACTCTTTTGGGAGTATTTGCTGATTCTTTTGTGAATTTTAGTGTCAACACAGACATCAGAAACTATAGCCAAAACCTGTTTAGTAGATGAGAATGAATTTGTGCGTGAGACTTCTGAGCAAAGCTAACAGATACATTTTTTAAAATCCCAATTCATTTTGTAAGCTTGAAGACTGCTATTGGTGTTGAAGAAGCCATTTTATGCAGTAGTTCATCATCTGGATACCAGATGTCCTGGAGAATATGCTTTTTTTTTTTTTTTTTTTTAAGATGACCCTTTTTATGGAAAAAAAATTTTTTTTTTTATGAAGTCTGGGGATAACCCATTTTCATGTTTTGTGGAAAAACTTATCTTAGATGCACAATGATTTCTCTCTATTCAAACTACAAATGTTGCTTTTTTTTTTTTTTTTTTTTTTAAGATGACCCTTTTTATGGAAAAAAAATTTTTTTTTTATGAAGTCTGGGGATAACCCATTTTCATGTTTTGTGGAAAAACTTATCTTAGATGCACAAGGATTTCTCTCTATTCAAACTACAAATGTTCTGTATCATATAATTTTATATATTCTCATTGAATCAACCCATATTGACTGTTACAATCACCTCGTATTCATAGCACACTGGGAGCAAAGCACAGTACTAAGAATTGTGGAGAATAACAAAATAAGTGATGTATAAATGGAGATTTCCAACTAATTATAAACATTTCTTTTGATGGTGTGAAAAGTCAACATTTAAACTTGTAATAGAAAAGGTGAGGTACTGCATACGTGATGCTATTTAGGCCAAAGTTCATCCATGACTAAAAGCAAGGAGTGAAAAACTGGGGAGTCATTTTCTTATTCAGTTTTTGAAGGAATGACTGTAGAATCAGCGTCCTCCCTCTGGTTAAGTTCCCCTCTCCTTGGAATCTTTCTCCTGCAGCTTTTCGAAGGCCCTCACCTACATGTCATGTCACATTAGTGAGCAGCAAGCCACACAAGACTTGGCTAGGATAGAAAAATCCTGTATTTCCTTGAGGGAAAAAATCTCCCATTTGTTTCCAGTTATTGTAAGTTATTTGTTTTTCATCTCAAGGTCTATCCCTACTGGATGTTAGTTGCGGGACACATTGTCAGTTATTTTGATGGTTAGTTTGTTGTTTGACTTTTAGAAAATAATTTAAGGCAACTTGCAAATATGTATACAATATTTGGGGAAAAAAGGAACATGGTGAGAAAAATGAGGCCAAGGGAAAATAAGGATGAGACAGGACAGAAGAAATGGCGATGAACTCACCCATGACTTCTCACAACACAAATTCTAGGTTCTGAAAGAAGACACTTCTGGTCCCTGAAGTAGTGACTCTTCTTCACCTGCTGCTTTCTCTCCTCAATCACTGTGTTGTCCATAAGGCCCAAAGTGGCCAGGAGAGATGGGGAAAGAGATTCTTTTTTATTTTTAGCAGCATTTGCAGTGGGTCTGGACCTGCCCTGGGTCCAGAGGGAAAGTTACTTGACATGCCACTATGGTTCAGGGTTGCTTTTTGATTCTTCCAGTGAGCAAGGACCTCAAATATCCCCCAACCATCTCCTTGTTATGGGATCTTTCTATATTCTCCTTAGCAGGTAGGCATTAGTATCTTTTGTTAGTGTTCATTACATATGAAGCATTTGCTAGATGTTGGCACATGCTATACCCTTGGGACAAAAAGAGCTACCATTTGCAGTTCTTGCCCTCAGAGAGCTTAGTGTAGAGGTAAAGATTTGTAGGAGCTTGGTGTATCTGATTTGTGAAACATGCCTTTTCAGCCTCCAAGAAATGTAAAAAGTGGACTTCAATACTACTGAACTGGATCTCTATCTCTTGACTTGCAGACATGTCCATGACATATTGTTAAGTGAAAAAAGCAAGGTGCAGAGTAGTGTGGAAAGTAGGATTCTTTTCCTGTAAAAACATACACGTCTCTGCCAAATATATGTATTTGTATGCTCATATATGTTTGTATAAGCAAGGAGAAGATTGTGGAAAGAACTGCATCAAACTATTAACACTGGTTAACATTAACAATTGGCTGGTATTGATTGGTTCGGAGGGTTTGGGGAGAGGGAGAGGATTAACTTTTCCTTTAAATAGGAAAAATACTATTAATTACAATTGCAATTAATAGCAATATTATTACTATGAATCCGATAAGCACATATTAGAATTTTAACTTGAAAGGCATCACATAAATTTTTAAAAACAAAGTTAGCAAATGAAAACTGTTTAGAGCTGAAATTTTGGTTTATGTTTTGATCAGCACATCATGCAGCGAATTCAGAGACTTCAGGCTGACTGGGTCGTGGAAGTAGACACCTTCTTGAGTCAGACACCCTTTGGGTACCGGTCTTTCTCAAATATCATCAGCACCCTCAATCCCACTGCTAAACGACACTTGGTCCTCGCCTGCCACTACGACTCTAAGTATTTTCCCCATTGGGGCAACAGAGTGTTTGTAGGAGCCACTGATTCAGCCGTGCCATGTGCAATGATGTTGGAACTTGTCCGTGCCTTAGACAAGCAACTCCTTTCCTTGAAGGTATCTGTTTTCCTCTTGTTGATTCCTAGGATAAAATACATTAGCAGTAATTCAGAGTAAATTCTAGAATCCTTGGGGGAGTAAGAAGGCTATTTAGAAATGGAGACTTTTGGTACATTTTTGTTCTACTTTGGTACAGAATGATATGAGGTTGAATGGATATTAATTGGAAGATTACATGATTTGAAATGGGCAATAAGATACATTGAGATACATTGACAACATAAGATACATTGACAGTACATTTATTAATTGGCACCTGATTTTTCAGCTTGGACTGTGCATGAAATTAAATGCAACATTTCTTTGCAAAAAGTGAAGAAGGAGGAAGGTTGGTACAGCTATATGTATGAGAATTATGTTTTATAATGATATACGTTTATCTCTTTTTGTTTGGTGCATGAAATTAAATGCAACATTTCTTTGCAAAAAGTGAAGAAGGAGGAAGGTTGGTACAGGTATATGTATGAGAATTATGTTTTATAATGATATACGTTTATCTCTTTTTGTTTAGACAGCCATGAAACATCACAACCTTCTGATCTGAGACAGGTGGCTCTTGAGTTGGGGGGAGGGAGCTGCAGCAAAGTGATTCCAAAGCAGAGAGACATATCGAGATGAAAAGCGTGGAGCAGAAATGCATTATTGCTGTTATCTGTGAATCTCGTCTCAATTTTATGTAGCATGGCAGAGCTTTTGTTACCCTCTCAGCTCAAGATACTACTGGGACTCTCAGATGTTATTTCAGTCTCTGTGTTCTTCAGGGTATATTGGAAAAAAGTGCTAAACTAGACGAAGACATTTTGTTCTGCTATCACTCATAACCAAGTAAACACAACAGAGCCAAAACAAAAAACTTTGTTCATAGGCAACAAATGCCTTTTTTTTACCTCAGAACTTTAGGGAAGGTCCAGCCGTTGAGACAATGGGGATAAAGAAGAAAAAGGTTTATCTTGTAATGGAAGTAATAGAGATATTTGCTTCTATTTTTCCTGGATATGCAGAACTTGAAGAAAGCCAGAATTGTTTATATCCTCCAGTCTCCTTTTCACTATTTTTTTGTTTTATTTTGTTTTCTGAACTTTCTATAATGCCTTTGTCCCATGCTCTGCCTGCTTTTAATGAGCACCCTTCCCTAGCAATTGGGTTGAGAGAGTTTGGAAGCTGATATAAAAGTTTAATTTTTCATATGTGCATTTCTAGTATAAAGACATGAAATGAAAGGAAGAATGACTTAAATGCACAGTTCTGTGTAGTGAATGTGTTTTCTCTCGGTGAACTCCTTCACCTTTTTTTTGTACCTGCTTTTGGTTACCAGAAATAGAAAAGACTCAATGAGTTGTTGGGCGGCATAACTTCGTATAGCATACATTATACGAAGTTATACGACGGTCTCCACATGGGATCCGAACCCTCAGCGGGAGCACCGCTGCGCTCCCAAGCGGCGCACTCTCCAGTGCGCCACTGGGCCAGCCCTTATGCTTCCTTCTTAAAACCCTGAGTGCATGGGTATTGCACAAACACATGCTTGGCTTAATGCTGTTAAGAGTTGTGAGGGATTCAAAGTAAAATAAACTTTCCTTTTCTTATGGTCTAATTAAAGAGCAATATTAAGACAATTGAAATGATTAGCATACAAAAATAACTTAGTTTTAAGATGATAAAGGCATTTTTCTCCTTTTTTATGAAATTACCCTTAAGACAATCAGAAAAACTCCATTTTTGAAGAAACTAGAAAACATCTGTTAACGGGAACCACAAAATGAAGACAGAGGTAGATGAAGAAATGGCAAATGACCTCTCAGAATGGAGAGAAGTCACACTGCCCTGGAGAGGGAAGGAAATGGAAGAAGCCAGCTGGTCTCCTCCAGAATCCTGGAAAGGCTCAGGGATTGGAGGTATGATATGCTCAGGAAGGCAGAGGTGAGGCAGTAGATGGAGTGGAGAGTGTTTAAAAGTCTGCATAAGGAGCACTTAAATATACAGATTTCCAACCCACACCAGGCAGGAAGGTGAGTGCCCCACATGTACCTCTGCAGCAGATGAGAGAATATTTTTCTAGAGAAATTGAACCATGAGGGTTCTGAACTTGGGAATACCAGGTATTCCAGAGGGCAGCGGTGAGGCCCCCATGGAAGTCAGGGAGATTAGGTGAAAGTCTACATATTGGACAGTGAGATCTCCAGTCTTCCTCCCATTTCTAGCACCAGAAAGCTGGCAGCCAGCTGATACCTGTCAGGTAGGAAACTGGGGGAATCTTCTCCAGAGAATGTGAACCACCTCACAGACAAGATTCACAGACAGTGGCATGTGGAGGTCCTCAATGAAAACACTGATGGGGTACCAGGTTGCCCTCCAGCAAAACCAACCCATTTGTGTCTCCTACCAGCATTTTAGTACCTTATTCTTTAATGTGAATGAACTCAATGGAGGACCAGACATTTGAGGACAGTCTCCAGTATGAAAGAAGCAACACAAATAATACAAATTGAAAAATGAAGTATATGGAAATAGAGTACAAGGAGCAGAAGATAAGTTAAAGGACACAATTTTTAATATCCTTACAGAGATAAGAGGAGAAGTTATATCCATGAAATAAAAACAGAATGCTATAGTAACAGAACAACCACAGAATAAGAAAGGGCTTTTGGAAATTAAAAATTCTATTTTCAAAATAAAAAAATCAGTAAAACAGTTGGATACTAATGTAGAAGAAATATCTTTTCTACAGAGGAATGACAACAAAAGAGATGATTATTACTTCTGGGGGATCATTCCAGGAATTACAATAGGTCATATAAAAAGTATTGGGAATGAAAATGGTATTAGATTTCTCAATAGAAACCTCAGGAGCAAGCAAGTAATGAAAATGTGCCTTAAGTATTTTAAATAAAAATAATTTGCAACTCAGAATCCTCATACCCAGCCAAATCACATGTGAGAGTAGAATGAAGACATTTTCAGACATGTAAAGTCTCAATCATTTTCACCCCCATGTACTGTTTCATTTTTAGAAGTTACTTAAGATATTCTCCAGCAAAATCAAGGAACAAATCAAGGAAGTCATGGGATTTGGGTCCCTGGGAATCCCGTATAGGAGAGGCAGAGGGAGTCCCGAAGGTGATAGTGAGGGGAGACCTCAGGTAAGAGGTGGGCAGCAGGGTTGGCGAGTAGCCAGCCAGGCTGAAGCAAGCCAAAGGAGAGGCTCTGGGAGGATTACAGCCACAAAAAACAGAACTAGACAGACACATGAGAAGCAAAATTGCCACAGCATCTGGAAAGTTTGACCACGTAATTGTGGAGATATATGAAGCTAAAAGAAAATGAAGCAATGGAAAAGAGAGGCATGTGGTGAGGAATGGTGGGAAATAGGTTTGCAGAGGAAGGATGAACTGGATTTGTGCGTGTGTGTGTGCATATATATATGGGGGGGGAGAGAGAGACCAGTGGAAGACTTTGTTTAAGACACTTAAGAAGGGAGAAGATATTTAACAACAGGAACTAAAAAATAAATTGATTGAAGACAAGATCGGAAGAGCGTCG